CCAGACTCCTGGGAGAGGCATCTGGCTGGTCCAGCTCTTCTGGTTGAGCGGACCACACCAGTCTGGTCATTAGGCAGCCCAGGAATAGACCACCAGTGGGTCAGGTGCCTCCACACGCTGTGGCATATACATTAAGGCAGAGCTTTTGAGAAGATGGCATGCATGGGCCGGGGACTGAGGCATGGTCACAGGGGTGTGGCCCGTCCAGGGACCAGGGCTGTGCAGGCAGTGGGTCAGATCTTGAAGAACCTTGCGGGCCATGCTGAAGCATGTAGTCTGCATCCCGGGGACCACAGTAGCCATTGAAATGCCATGAACAGTGGATGGGCTGAACTCATCTGGCGTGTGACAGCCAAGGTCCAGACCTGTTTCTGAAAGCCTATTTTCAAACATTTTGAATTCATTGCCAGTGTTTAAAACTTTGCAGATATCACATAACAATCCAGACTTCCATTTTTTTCTGGCCTGTATGAAGATCTGGTAGTGCTGACTAGCAGACCTCCAAGGTCACTGTCTACCAGTTGGGTAGCAAGCAGCACCCCCTAGTCTGTTAGGGTCCTTGCCCACTTGGCTTCACTCCTTTAGGTCATAGTCTGGCCTTCCGAGGGCTGGGGTCTGCACACCCAAGCAAAGCAAGCGGACTGTGTGGACAGTAAGGCTGCAGGCAGGAAAGCCAGGGAGAAGTGAAGGCCTGGAATCTAGATGCAGATTCAGGGAGCAGAGGGCTTTGACTTCTACCTTGCAGGAAATCACTTAAAAGGACATAGAAAGGGGGTGATATATGGCTCTGTCCTGCTTCCTTGTCTTTATTCTACAAATGCTTCCCTTTGGTACAGTATCAACGTGACATCCTAGGCTCACTGTCAGAGAGGACCCCGACTGTGTCTGTGTCCCTGTTTTTCCTGGCTCTGTCCTTCACCTGTCCCCTCCTCATGTGTCTTCAGCTAATCATTGGCTTTCCACCCTCCTTATTCTCTTTCTTCCCAGTTACATTTCTCTACCTTTCTAGATGACCAGTGCAATTCGACTTGCCTGGCCATTCCCTTTCCTCAGGCTCCTCCTGGGAATATCTTAAAACATCAGAAAACACTGAATTTAAGAGCAAAGCTGGCCCCTCTGTCCACCTCGAGGCAGTGTGTGGGCTCACTAAACTATTTCAGAGATTGCTTACGTAGCTATGTCTGTAACTTTAAGGAAAAGGTATTTGATAAAAGTCTGCAGGTAGGGTTTATCCTGAAGCAGGAATTCAGCTTTCCCAAAAAAGAACTTTCCAGAAAAGGGCTCTGAAATCTCACTGTCTGGGGTCAAATCTCAGCTCCACCATTTTCTAGCTCTGGGGTATGGGCATGTCACTTGACCTTTCTGAGCTCCTTTCCTTAACTATAAATTGGGGATAATAGGACCTGCTGGAGGGGTGTGGGGAGGGTTCATGAATAACACATGAAAGGGCTGAGTCCAGGACTGGTCCCAGAGCAACTGCCCAGAATGAGCAGCTATTATTATTAACACGGATCCTCATCGGGACCAATGAACACGTGTTCTACTTATCAACAGCCCCTATTGCTCCCTCACCTTCGCTAATGCTTCCTCTGGATTTTTTAAGATAAAGATGTTGATTTCCAAGAAGACACACTGATTTTTTTAAGTGAAACATGTTGAGTTAACATTTTTATTGTGTTTGCAGTTTGGGGACAGGAGGGAAGGCTTCACCCTGAACTCAGCTTTCACAAATCAAAGTCTCTGGGGTGAGTTTTTAAAAGGAATACTTGCTCTGCTTGGTGGCGGGGGGGTTCAAAGCTCTGGGGGGAAATGGTAAATGCTAGCCTTTAATTGTAAACGAAGGTAGCAGCAATAAGGATCTGGAGTCAGTAAACAAACAACTGATTCCACTGTCAGCAGTTCCCTTTTAACACCCAGTGCCTCCCATTTTATACACTGAGTGGAGTTGGTGAAGCCCATTTTGGGGAGAACTGGCTGAGGCCCTGAGTAAAGGGGACACCCATAGGCGTCTACATCTCCCTCCCCTTGTCACCGAATTGTGCCTTATGAAGCTGTCGCTTTGTCATATCTGTCTTGCCCTGAGGGCCAGCTCACACCAAGGGGTTTACCTAGAGAATTCCAGTTGTGTTTTATTTCAGGAACATAAGATTTTATCTAAGGCGCTTTCCTGCAGCTCATAATATGGCCCTCCCTCGGCATAAACTGCACACGCTTTCCATTGTTAGCACTGCTCCCGGTGCGGGCAGCAGCTCCTCAAGGCTCTGCTGGAATTATAGGCCACTTTGTTTGTGCAATAGCTCGGGAAGCTTGGCACCATTGATTTGCATCAGTGCCTCCGGAATAGCCTTTGCCTTCTCCTTAAAGATACTATCTAAACTGTGAAATTCATTAAATAGCCCCAGAAATGGATCAGGTTATTTAACACAACATCCCTAATGGCACAATATCTCAGCTGTCCACACTGATAGCGAACATTGTCTTGGATAGTGTTATCAGCCCAGGACACCCGCTATGAATATTGATCCCAAGCTTGTTATAGCCATCACTTGCCATCAGGACAGGTCAGGGTTGGAACCCACCTAGCATCAAGGCAATTTAAAGACAGCACTCAGGCAGAATTTTAATGCCTATGCTGAAGAAAACAAATCAACTCCGTGCACAGATGGAAGGTGGCTCACTGGATGTGCATGAGTGTGTTACTGGGGACGCCTGGATGTAAATACATGTGCAAGGGTGCTAACGGTCAGACACCTCTCCAAATCATACCCGAAGGGAGGCCTCACTGCCTCCTGGTCCTTTACAAAGCAGATGGCCAGAAAATGAATCCCCTCAGCCTCTCTGCCTCCACTCTTCCTTATGATTAGGGGTGGGGTTCTCTCTAGGCTGGGTGAGTAAGAGAGCATTTCTATTCCTCCGATGTTTGTGGGGGACACACCTGTGTCTCTTGTGTGTCCTCTGTTGCCAGAAGCCAAGTACTGAGCATTAGGTGAGGACAGCCTTGTGCTCCACTGAGCACACATGAGAAATGTTGGGAAAACTAAGGGCAAGGAGAATTTAACAATCATGAAAAGAAAGCATTCTTAAGGATTCACAGGTTTAAAGGCTAGGGTCTCCATATGTTCTTGACGTTCTCTCTGGTTTGTTGCTTCTCCTTTTTTTGGCTTCTTTCCTATATTCCACACCTGTAGACTTCAAGGTGAGTCTTATCAAATAAAATATTCGGAAAAAATTTTTGAGGCTATTTGTAAGATGTACTCAGAGGATCCCTGGGAAGGCTGGGGCCTTCCTGGTTCCTCTCCTTTGGGTCTGGAATGCCAGACCACCATGCTGTGAAATTGTCTTGGGGTTTCTTCAGGGGCAGAGGAAGAGGAGGGATTGTGGGAAGCCACATTCACTATTTCTGTTCTGGAGTAACCTGATGGAGACCTGTTCCTAAGTCTCCCAGCTACTCAGAAGAATCCAAGCACAACAATCCATACAATAAGGGGAGCGAAAAGGGAGAAGGGGCCAGGATCAGTAGGGGAGGGAAAAGAAAAAAGCGGGGGAAGGACAAGTGAGAATTGGGCGAGAAAGCGTTGTCTAAACAGAAAAGGTGCACGATGTGTATTGGGGACGGGTCTGGGTTTACGGGTCCTGGGTGCTGCCTTTTAGTTCCAGCTTGTCTTTTCTCTGGGTTTCACGAGGTGTGTGTTCCCCTTGGCAGGGGGTGGGCCCGTGGGCTTGGGAAAGGCACTTCCTTTCCTGAGCTTTAAAAGCACATCCATTTGCACTTCAGGACTGGAGCGAGCGCGAATTTCGGCAGGGCTTTAAAGTCCGCAGGGAATACAGTGGCCACCTCTGGGAGGGGCCGAGAGGTTTGAATGAGAAAAGCTACCAGGAGCGGGCCTCTCAGGACCCCTCCTCAATCACACATGGGATTAGCGGCCCCCAGCACTTCAATGAGCAGGTTTCTCCTCCTCTTCCTACTTCTTACCTGCTCAGACAATATTAATTGCCGAGTCATTGTTTGGAAACCGCATGGGGCCGGGAAGAAAGGAGCAGAAGAGTTAGAAGTAGCTGTGGGCGGAGGTCTAGGAAAGCCTCAGAATTTGCCGCTGAAATAAATGCCTAGTGCTCCCGGACTGCAAATGACAAAAGAAGGAATGTTAGCAGGGTGTGGCTGGTGACGCCTCCCTCCGCGTAGCAGCCCGCGGCCGAGGGGCGGGGCTTGAGGGGCAGAAGGGGGCCCTTTCAACGGTCTCTCTTTGATCTTAAATTCAAACCAGACAGGTATTTTTAACCTTTCCCTTCTTGGGGCTGGGAGAGGATGTGGGTCAGCGAAACGGCCTATTCCCCGAGACACAATTTCTGATGCAAATGATGGTATCTGGGAAGAGCGCCCCACCGGGGGCATCGAAGCTTGTGCTGGCAGTCACATAAACTAGGGTCTCACCTGGCCCTGAGCCCGCAACCTGCCTGGCAGAGGAGGGGCCCCTACCCCAAACCCTTGCCGCTCTCTTACCCTGTTCCTCCCCTAGGTGGACGGGAAAGACACCGATGTGGTGCAGGATTTTACTGAAAAACAAAAGCAAAAACAAACAAACAAAAAACCCCACTGGTCTAGCTCAGACTCTGTCATCAGCTAACGGAGACCCTGGGCAGATAGATCACTGCTTACTTTGGATCTCAATTTCCTCATCTTTAAAACAGGATGATAGTCTGAGCCAGGTCACGCCCACCTCACGGGGATTCTCAAGGAATCGAAAGATCTAGAAAGTCCAAGGGCTTGGTAAACTGTAAACCGTGAGAACAGAAGGGTTTTAAAATAGGAGGCAAATGGGTCTGAAGTTATTCCTGTGGATCACAGGTAGGGCGGGAGGGGTCGTCTCCAAGTCAAAGGCAGGTGCACAGGAGAAAGCGCAGCAGTTTCAAGTCAGAGGTGTTTGTGTGTAGAGCGGAGATGTGCGGGGTGAAAGCTTCCCTAGCGCACTTGCAGAAGTCTCTGCGGGTGGGGCGGAGGCTCGGTATCCTCGCGGGCCGGGCGCGCGCACCGGCGCCAGCGTCTCTGGCTAGCCCAGAGCAGCGCCGGTGGCTAAGGCTAGACCTGAGGTTGCTGCTAGTGCGCCCTGCACGTGGCGGGGGCCTGGGCCGCGCAAGTGCCAATCCGCGCGCAGCCCCCCGGGGCTCTCTTCCCGCCCCGCCTCCCCGCTCCCCTCCCCAGCTTCACTTGGCCGAGCAAACCCGATTCGCGCTTAGAGAGCTGCGGCCGAGCTACAGCCAAGGCAAGCCAGAGCACCACCACCCCCGACCCGGCACCGCCGGGCGGCCCGCGGGCTGTGGGTATGCTGGCATGGCAGGACGGAGGGGCCAAGGCGGCTCCCTCCCACCACAAGATCTCCTTCTCGGTCCTGGATATTTTGGACCCGCAGAAGTTCACCCGCACTGCGCTCCCCGCCGCGCGCCTCGCTCCCCGGGAAGCCAAGAAAAGTTTGGCGGAGGTCGAAGCCAGGAAGGACACCAGGCCTGGGAACCGAGTGCGACAGCAGGAGACCTTTGGTAAGAATGCGAGGCGATCCCAGCCCAAGTGATGCACAGGGCTTGTAAGTCGCGGGGTATGGGGTGGGGCGGCTGGAGAGCCAGGGCCTGGTGAATGGTTCCTTAACCGCGCACAGGAGCAGGTGGGACGTGTGCCCCCCATCCCCGCCTCGGAATACGGTTGAGGCCGAGAGGAGGCTCCCTGAATTCCGGGGCACCTGGAAACCTTATCCCCGTATACCTGTCAAGCGGGTGAGCACCATAGCTCTGATTGCTTGCAGTGAAAACTAACACCTAACGTTGCCAGGCTCACTCATTTAACAGGCATTTAATGTGCTCCTCATGTGCTAGAACCTGGACTAGGAGCTGGGATTAAGGTAATGAAAGTTTGAAATCTTTGAGGTAGATAGCATCATTAACATCATCCCATTTTATGGATGTGAGAACTGAGGCCATGGCCTGTGTCTGGGATCTCAGTGAGTAAACAGGCGCCTATTTCTTAACACTCCAGACCCAACTGTGGACTGGGACTGGGAGCAGGGCCTCGATGATGGGAAGCTTTTAGTACTTTCTCCTGGAAACCCTTTTTGATTTAACCCCTGACATTGGTAGACACCTGAGGAAGGGTCCAGGAAAGTTTGTGGGTGGAAAGAAGGAGGAAAGACAGAAAGACTCGTGCTGGCTGGGACGTGGGTATGAGATTCCCTGGAGGAATGCCCACGGTCAGGTCTCTGAGGAGGCTGAATGCCTCCCAACCTCCTGCTCCTCTCTCCAAGTTTGGTGGTGATTGTCTGGGGCCCCTGGCGCCTCTGGCGGCCGCGCTGGGCCCGGGCTACCGGCCTGGTAATTGTTCGGATCGTCTCTCGGAGGGGCCGAGCTCCCCTTCCCCCATCCCCTTGATCGATATTCTATTACTGGCGCCTGCATATCTCCTGCCCGCAGCTTGCAGGTACCGACTTCAAACCCCCTTTCCCTGTCTGATCCTAATATTGTTCGATTAAAACTTACCTTTAATAGATGACATCTATCGATCTGGCCCCGCACAAATCTGAAACTCTATTAACACGGCAGGAGAGAGAAGATGGGAAAGGGGGAATTTCACCTTAAAGCGGGGGGGGGGAGGTGGAGGGCTTAATAACTTATTCTTTAATTCCTAGGAGTCCCGCACCAAAATAGGCTTCTAGGGACTGGGGAGGCGCTGCCCTAAACGCACTCGACGCCTCAACACCTCGAGGTCTTCATGTACAACCACTCCCCCAAAAGGTCACTATTCTTTCTCCATGCCGGTTGAGTGCCATTCATTCAACACATACTTCTTGGATGCTTACTTGGTTGTAGATTTGTAAAGGGCAAGAGGACACCGTACCCCTAAATCTGCTTATGAGAATGTGCTTTCGCGAATGGCTGAGCGTGGTGTGTGGAAGGGCACGGAACTGGGGGTTGTTTTAAGGGGAGAGCTGAATGCTCTCAGGAAGAGGTTTAGGGCCGGGTCGTTCCGGGCTTCTGGTAACCTCCCCCTTCTCCCTTAGATACTACTGGCCAAGGCGCCGGTCCAGCGTCCCCCCTGGAGGGTTCCGAGGCCGAAGAGCAAGAGGAGGACGCAGAGGACTCGGGACCTGAGCGCGCTCTGGTGGGCCCCGCGCGCCCCCCCGAGGTCCGGGCCGCGGTGTTGGCGGGTGGAGAGAGCAAAGCGGAAGGCTGTCCCAGCTCTCCAGGTTCCCCGAGGCCCCGGCGCCGGCGAGCTGAGCCCAGCTGCGCCAAGCCGCGGCGAGCGCGCACCGCCTTCACCTACGAGCAGCTGGTGGCCTTGGAGAACAAGTTCCGGTCCACGCGCTACCTGTCGGTGTGCGAGCGTCTGAACCTAGCGCTGTCGCTCAGCCTCACTGAGACACAGGTCAAAATCTGGTTCCAGAACCGCAGAACCAAGTGGAAGAAGCAGAACCCGGGCGCCGACGGCGCGGCGCAAGGGGGCGGCGGTGCGCCTCAGCCTGGGACGCCGGGTGCGGCAGGGGGCACCGGTACTGGAGGCAGTCCAGGACCCCCAGGCCCTGGCACTCTTTCCTTCCAGACTTTCCCCTCCTACTCCGCAGCCAGCGTCCTCTTCCCGGCCGCCACCGCTGCGGCCTCCTTCCCCTTGTCCGCCGCCAGCGGGACCCCCTTCGCGCCCTTTCTGGGGCCCTCCTACTTGACCCCATTCTACGCCCCGCATCTATGAACCTGTAGTCTCCAGTGCCCCCAGCTTGGCAGGGGTTCACGAGTGATTGGCATCGTGGTGTCCCCCCTCCTCACTTTAGAGGGGCTCGGGCGTGCACGGCTCGCCCCCTCCTGGTGCACAGGTGTCTGCGCGCCCCTTTCCTTCCAGCTGCGGAACTCGCCACCAGAGGGCGGGGAGAAGCTGCCTGTCGGCTCCAGCCGCGACCCTTCCAGCGAAGTAGACCCCAGACTACACGCGGGCCACCAAGGGGTCGGGGAAATTTCCCGACTCCTAAAATCTCTCCGTTTCTAGACGTTGCTCTTCACTTTCCGTCAGGTTTAATGCAGTTCAAGGGCTCTCTTTTAAGAGTCAGGATATTCGGTGCTGGGCTAACCGAGTTGCCAGATGGAGAAGGGAGGGGGTGAAGGCTACCAGTGCCATAGCTCGCACCTAGCATGGAGTCTTCTAAGTTCCAGCCCACTCAGAAGGGAGGGGCTTTCCCTCTTCCCAGCTCAGTGCTTCTCTCGTGATACTTGGTTGTTGGCTCAGATCCAGAGTCCGAACAAAGCTGGAGAGAGCGGGCCCACGGCGCACACACTGCCGCAGCAGAGTGGTCTATTTTTAAAATGCATAAAACAACATCTCTACGTCTTCATTTGAGATTCGGATTTGGGCATAGCGCTGTTTCTAACAGACCGCACAGGTTATTTTCAGGAGAATGGGTACTTTTTTCTGAGCAGGCCAGAAGTCTGTGGTAGGAAAAGTCCTGCAGTATTTTGGCTAGACTTGCCTGCTGAACAAGACCGGTTGGCTGCCATGTACTGCAGGTTTTGAGAACAGCTTGGACAAGCCACAGCAGAGGCCCGTAAATAGGATAATGAAGGGAATGATGGGCCACGGAAATCATGAAATCCATGTCAGTCCGGCTATTTTGATGTTCAGTGTTTGATACAAACTTAAGTCTTTTTATTTTATTTTATTTTATTTTTTGCTACTGGGGATTGAACTCAGGGGCACTTTACCATTGAGCCCCATCTCCAGCCCTGTTTTGTATTTTATTTAGAGACAGGGTCTCACTGAGTTGCTTAGCACCTCGCTGTTGCAGAGGCTGGCTTTGAACGTGAAAACCTCCTGCCTCAGCCTCCCGAGCCGCTGGGATTACAGGCATGCGCCATCGCGCCTGGCTCGTGGACTGTTTTTTTAATTTTAATTTTTAAAAGCACAAACTTAACATTTTTTGATCTTCGTCTAAGATTCTGACTTGAAAATAATTCCTGTTCTAAATAGATTCTCCATGATGGTGAACCAAGCAAAAGATTGTAAGAAGCTGGGGAAAAATTATATATATACTTACTGAGTGTAAAGGGCTACATGGAGGCTAATCTCTTGTAAAGGACTAATATGTGCGTTCTAACTGCTGCTTTTATTGTCACCCTTTAAAAATTACCTTTTCTATAAAATTCCTTTGCCAGTGTTGTTTGGAATACCTCTGCATTAGTGTTCTATGTGATATGATCTTGAAGCCACATCTCAGAAACCCGGTGACCCCAGCTCTATGCCATGTATTCTTCATTCTCACTTTGATTGCTTCAGGCCAGTTGATATCCCTATGGGGACTATTCCTTGCTATTTCTTGGTAGCCTATACCACTAGTAATTACATTTAATGAGTACTGTCTTCAAAGTAAAAGCACACTGGTAATGTGAACACTCACTCCATGATATTATAATCTTGAAATATCTAGTTAGTTCTATTATTATCAGGAAGGATAGAAAAATTTCCCCCTTTTTCCTGACTTAAATTAAGACTTCATATTCATGTGACTCTCATGAGATTTGAGAGTTTGTGTTATTTATGTGTTTTTTGCTAATTAGATTTTTCCTTCTATTCTATAGAAGAATGTCCCCAAACAAAACATTATGGCTTTCTAAAGGACAGTTGGTGCCAGATGAGATTAAAAATGCAATTACTGTAATTGAGAATATAATTTCTATTCCCTTCACATAGAGGTGAATGCTCCTCCAATAACTATTTGTTGGCTTCTCAAAAGCACCATTCCATGCCTAGGAACCACCAATTCAAGCACATGGAGGCCAGATCTGTATTTTCTGTAATAAGTGGGAAGCATTTCATTCCAGTCCTCTCAGGTACCAGAATCTGACTGCAGCTGAAGAGAGGGAGTGGAGAGGGAGGTTTATCTGTGTGCGGACTGTTCTCCCTTCCACAAATGGTCACCGAGTGGTCCTTGAGGTGTGTGACTTTCAACTTCTGCTGCTTTCAACATTAGGGTTTGGCTTTTCAATCAAATCCTTAGACTCGTTCTATTGGTGTGTCAACCTAATAAATTCTTTTTTGTAATGCTTTCTTGTTTATTTCTTGCTCTCTATTGGTAAACCCTCCCTTCTTTTTTGGAGGTACTGAGGATTGAAACCAGAGGCACCCTACCACTGAGCTACATCCCTAGGCATCCCCCGACCGCTCCACTGCTCCTGCTCCTTTTAAAATTTTGAGACAGGGTATCATTAAGTTGCAGAGGCTGGCCTTGAACTTGCCATCTCCCGCCTCAGCCCCCAGAGTAGCTGGGATTACAGGCATGCTCCACCAAGCCTGGCACTATTTAATAACCTTATGATTATTAAATATTATTATTATCATCAGAGGATCTGTATATGTACTTCTCTCCCACCAGCTAGCACTCACAGAGTTCTTTCTTAAACCACCTTTCTGGACTGCAGCTAGATACACACAGAATAGCTACTTTTGCATGCAGTTTATACAGACATGCATTAGGGCCATTTTTGTAGCAAAAGTAAAGCAAAATCATAGATTTTAAATTAGATTACCATGTTTGTCATTTTAAAAATAACACTTCAGAACTGATTTGACTAGTTTTTAAATTTTTGAGTAATACAAGAAATTCTTCAATAAATGCCAAATGCATTTATTTATTTATTTTTATTATTTATATATTTGGTACTAGAAATTGAACCCAGGGATGATTTACCACTCAGCTACATCCCCAGCCCTTTCTATTTTTTATTTTGAGACAGGGCCTTGCTAAGTTCCTGAGGTTGGCCCCTAACTTGCAATCCTCTTGCCTCAACTCCCCAAGTGGCTGGGATTATAGGCATGTGCCACTGTGCCCAGTCCTAGATGCACTTAAAATTCTAATTTCATCCTATGGTCAGTGACATGGATTCAGGGAAAGAAAAAGTGTCTAGACATGGACGAAAGCTTCTCAGGTGACAAGGGGACAGGATAGTGAATGCCCGAGTGTCAGGTAGCAGCTTCACTCTGAGCGTCACCCCAACACTTCCTGGTTCACAAGGATTAAAGTTGAGGTGGGAGATTGCGGTGCCCACGACGTGGCCGGCCCAAGCCAGGCTGGCCGGAGCCTCTTCCACCCTGCAAGGCATACATGACTTTGGCAAGTTACTGATGTCCTTGTGCCTCAGTGTCTTCACCATAGGCCTACCTCAGAGGACAATGGACAGGACCTGAGAGGTTACATGGAAATCACTTAGCTTAGTGTCCAGTGGGATGATGGTAGTTGTCATTCCAGCCATAGCCAGAAAACACCTTAAAGAAGCTCTACGTAACCCAACAATCTTGCTTAAACAAACAAAAATAATTTTTGCAGCATAATAAGCATTCGGAAAACTGAATATATCAGATGTACACAGCGTGGTGTGTTTTTCCTACTTGGTACACCTGTATAACCAGCATCCAGATCAAGGGATGGTGTGTCACCAGTGCCCCAGTGTCTCTTGTGTCCCCAGGTATGATTATCCTTCCCAAAGGCAGCCACTCTCCTGATTCCTAACTGCAGAGAGTACAGGTGTCTAGTTCATCTTTTACTTCTACAACTGGGATCATATACGGTATACTATTTTTGTGTGTGTCTGGCTTTTTTTTGCCTGACATATTGATGAATTTCCTCTGTTCTTTTGTTTAGTTGTAGATTCTTCATTCCAATTACTATTGCTGTTTTTCATATTTCATAAAAACACAACTTATTTATCTACTCTACTGTTGGTAGGTAATTGGGTATTTTCTGGTTCAGGGCTCTTACAGCTCAACTGTCTTGTAGGTGTCTTTTTGGTAAATGCATCTTCATAATCCCCAGGTAATAAACCTAGGAGGGGGATTACTGTGCCTATGTAAGTCTAGCTTTAGTAGATACCACCAAACACTTTTCCAGTGCAGTTTTAGCAATTTTCATCCCCATCTGCAGTGAATGAGAGTCCAGGTGCTCCGCATCCTCCCAGACTTTGGATTGCCCACCTCTTTCTCTCCAATGATTACTTTTATTTTTTTCAAGCCAGTTCTTTTTTTTAGTTGTCGATGGACCTTTTTTTTTTACTTATTTATATGCGCGGCTTGGAATCAAACCCAGTGCCTCACACATGCTAGGCAAGATTCTACCACTGATCCACAGCCCCAGCCCTCTCCGAAGATTCTGTAGTACACATTTGGCTTTATATTCATTTCCTGGGAAGATACCATGCTGAATACCCCTCCAGGTCCTCTGGGCCATTTGGTATTTGTTTTGGTAAAGAGTCTGGCCATGTCTCTTACCTAATCCTTTTATTGGTAAAATAAACTGACTCTTCGACAGGAAGTGATTTGCCCAAGATCGCACAACTAGTAAGAAAAAGAACAGAACCTGAAATCCAGGCCTGGTGACTCCAGGGTGATCTAAATTAGGCATGGGACCACCAATCATATGTAAAATATTTGGTTACATATCTTCAAATAATCCAGGAGCCGTTTGGGCATTTGGTGGCCAAGGCAAAGCATCAGTACTGGATTGAAGTATTCCATTGCTTGCTCTTTCTGTGTTAATTCCATGTTTAACACGATGAGGAACCGTCTAGCTGTTTTTGGCAGTACTGCCCTGTCTTTTCCACCAGCAGTGTGTGAGGCCCCCCAGTTCTCCACTTGCTGACAACACCTGCTATTCTCTCTATGTCTTTTATTAAATCAAAACCATCCTAGCAGATGGGAAGTGGCCTCTGCAGTTTGTCTCTTGAACGCCCCCCTCAGGCCCACCTGTGAAATCTGCACACCAGCCTGTGGCCTTCTTGAGAAGGGGTGGAGCCCTTAGGAGGCGCAACCTCAGAGAAAGAAGTTGGATGGGGGGGGGTGCTCTTAAAGAGGCTACTGAGACCCAACCCTTTCCCCTCTCTTTCTCTTAGCTTTATATTTTTATCCCTGGCCACCAGGAGGAAATAGGCCACATACTCCCACTATGATGTGTGTCCCCACAAGCCCAGCAGAGCTGGAGCCAAATGACCATGGACTGCAATGTCTGAAACTGTGATACAACATAAACCTGTTCCCTTATTGAGTTAATTGCCACAGGTTTTTGTGACAGTAATGGAAAGCTAACTGCCATATACACCGACCGAGGACTCTGAGGTCTTCACATGTGCTTCAGGCCATTTGTCTTCTTGGGAGAAAGTCCAATGGAGACCTTTTAGTCATCTTTTAATTGGGTAATTTGTCCTGTTGCATTTTAAAAGCCCTTTATACATCCAAAACATTTATATCTCCACCCCCATTTCTTTTGTGCCTTAAAATATGTGTATGGTCCCAAGACCCCTCCTCCCTTCCCTCATTTCCTGAGCACCAACTGAGAAACCAAGTGAGTGAAGGTCGCAGATAGGTACTCAGTTGGTGCCAGTGTGAAGAAAGTGCCATGTTTTTTTTTTTTTTTGTCAGCTGTTTCTGTACAAAGAATCCTTGTCCTTAGCACCGATGTCATTTGGAATTCAGGCTGGAAACAAACGGGCTACTATTTCCACCTTTTTCAGGTTTGTGACCTACAGACCTGGTTTGTGTTTGGGAAGGTCATGACGGCATTTCATGCCCCCAGAGTCTGGCAAAACATTACTGAAAAAGGGGTTCAAGCTATTGCCAAGACAAGGTCAGCGCTGTCTGTCAGCCCTCGGCTCCCATCAGGGTTTCCTAAAGGCAGGAGGTGGAACTACCTTCAGTGGTTTAGAGCACGCTGCCTTCCTG